TCGTAAGCTCCCGATCTTCAAGATCGAACCGTCATGTCATAATCCTAGAGGAGACTGATTCGCACTGCATGACAACCTTCGGTGCTGTTAGTTACATTATGGTAGTTACTCCCCCCAGTGTACCCTTTTTTATCGCCCATGTGACCAGAGTAGATTACTAACTTCCAAGCTAAAAATTTGGAGACTCCACCTCCGTTTCTTCTGCTCTAACAAATTTCTAGCCCCTTTTCAGGTTATCTTCTCAATTATTCTGTGGACTGAACATTCTTTGCAGTTTTAAAGATTGTTCGGCCATTTCGTGTCTCCATGTTTCTGTTTGTTTTCATTGAAAGAAGACACATCTCCCCACGAAGTTTACTTTTCGTAGTTATGGGAGCTTTGAAGTTTCTGTGACGATTAGATTGGTTTTTCAGGCTGGGACGAATAGCCAAACATCAAGCCTCCCCACTTTTTTCCTGGCTTAGGACTAGCTAATAAACTAGGCGGAATTAAATTGTAGGAAACCTGAGGTTAAAAAGTAATCAAATAAATTACCCACTTTATCTGATGACTTCTTTGGGGGACTGGTAAGAAGATAATCCAAAATTGAATTTCCGTTCACTATTCGTCAGTATCTTAATGCATTACCCAAGAACGTTATTCGAAAATTAAACCAGTGTCTAAATTTTGATATTTTCGCAAACAGTTATGATATCTAATCAGGGCTTTTCACATGTTATCCTAGCATGTGGTCTTCTCAGGACATTTTTACTGTGATGAAATGATAAGAAAACGTAAAAGTTTACTTCTTAATGTGGATGCTGTGAGGCAGCAGCGGTCTTTCTTGCACTAAAGGGCTGAGTGAAATAGAAATCATTCTAACAAGAACAAAGTTAGTGAAGACTGCAAAATTCAGAAGAAATAAAGCTGACAGATAAACAAGAAACACTCCTCAGTACGGAAAGGTATGCACAAAAGCAGAAAAATGGATGAAAACTTATAGAAGGAGGAAAATAAGATGAAAATTACTGAGAATTTCCTGAATCTGTAAGGTAAAAAGGGGTGGATACATCTGAGTCATTGAGAGAATAGACGCTTTGCACCTAAAGTTAAATTCGAAGTTAATGGGATTTTCACTTTTCCAGATTAAAGTTAATGCAACAGAAACATGAATGAACTTGGAAAGTAAAATTTTTCTTTTTCTTTATAATTTGAGCATTATCTTTTCAAAGCTACTTTCCATTACCGTTCGCTAGGCATACAATAGGTTAAATAATGTTTTATTGTTTGAGGAAATCTTATTTACCAGACGAAAGGTGCATCAAGAATCAAGAAAGTCAGAATAATGTAGTGAACGTCACATTTCAGGTAATAAAATACTTGCTAATTATCTGTAACGCCAGGCAACAGATGGTTTATTGAGAAGATGAAGAGATATTTACAGATTTTTATGTACATTATTATTCGTTATGGTTAGCAGATAAGCAGCGTCTTCTGATTGGTCGTTTTCTTACTGAAGGTAATTATGTCATCTTTTTGTGGCCGTTCCTTAGAAAGTCAGGCCATATATTTGCGAATCGTACTTGCACACAATAAGTCTGATGTGATAGTTGGTGACTTCCTCAAAGTTAAGTATAGTTATTGCTTTCTCCCATGACCCCGATTCGGGACGTAAACACTGGCGTAAATTGTTGTCTAAAATTTTGGGGAATTATTTACCGCTACAGCTCACTCCACCCCCCCACCTAGTGGGGTGGTGAGGACCCTAAGACAGAACCAGCCGGAAGTAAAAAACTCGATGGTTCCCTTTCGGGTGAAAAAATCTTCCGAGCGGCTAGGTGGGGTGCCTACTGGTTTGTCTGCCTATGCTAATAGGGTGTTTGTACATAGCTTCCTTGTTGTTGTTCGTTGGATCCCGTGCTTCGTTTGTTTCCTGTCCAGTGCCCGCCGCACCTGGAAAAGAAAACAAGAACGCTAAGAACCATGTCGAGGAAAATGTACCAAATCAGCTTTTTTTGTCAAAAAAAATGATGTGCATTTACTATACAGTAAAATAATGCTAAGTTCAGAACATCGAAAAAAAATACGTCTAATTAATTTTTTTGTGCATGTTACGTGAACTGTTGAAAAAAAATTTTTTGTGTACAGTGGTACTGTATCTAAAAAAATTGATACGTCAAAAAAAATAGTTAGTACCACAAACGAATGAGTTGCGTGAATCACGTCGGGCTCACCAGTTTAGAGGGTTGACGGAATTATCTTACACAGCCTCTAAATTATTCTCGCGTACCGAAAACAAAGCAAAAGCCAATAATTGATCGTCCAAACTTCGTGATATATTTCGGGACCAAAACAAGCCGTCAGACGAACGCTTAGCTAGCTAGTGATCGTGCACGTGACACGACGGGGTACCAAATGGCGGGGATGCTTGACCGGAAGCCTTCAGCTAAATAAGTCGACTTAAACAGTGGTGGTCAGCATCCAATGGTGAGTGATTGCTGTGGTCAATAATTTTGGGGAATTATTTACCGCTACATGAGTAAAAGTAATAATTAACAGGTCATAATTCTTATAACTATTTTTATGTTAATGAAATATATAAAGCAGTAATAATAGCAAATGAAATCCATCAACTTTTTTTAATCACCTGCATACGTTTGAAGCATGACCTAGGTCAAAATTGATTTCTGCTGATTACTTGTAAACTGAGCCGTGAAGAATGATGTTTTTAATAAGTGCTAGACACCTTTAACCTCGCTGAGTCTTCTGGCAAGAGAGAGGGTTAGATTCTGAGCCAGCAATTCACTCCAAAAGAAAACAATTCTATCGCTACAGAGGCTTCCAAACCCATGAATAATGAATTTATTCTCCATGGGAATCACAGAGAAAAATGTCTGTAGTGAATACAGTACAATCCAGAATCACTGTGGAACTTGTAAGTTGCACTCAGAACGTTAATAGTATATAATAATATTAGCAATGATAGGATGTAATCACTCTGTCACATAGTGAAAATATTCTTATCTCCGTATAATCTTAACTGAATGATTCGCTAAGAGGATTTCTCAGAGATAAGAATATGTCGAACAGAAAGATGCGTATAATCCCATTGTTATTATTTTTATTAAACTAAACAGTCAACATAGAAAATATCCCCATTTAGACATTTAGAAAAGAGAAAGATTGAGCGAAGAAATATTTACTTCTCAATTAGATCCTCATCTCTGGCTCTACTCTAATATATATAGCATTTTAATTACAATACACAACATTTTACCAATCAAGTGGCGATATGTTTGTTAACAATAATTAGTCGGTGTCAAAATGTCAATGGGGTGATAATTAACGAAGAAAAATTAATATATATAATTAAAAGGTGGTAATGGTTACAACACGTGGATTGCATAATGCAATAATTTTGGAAAAATGAAGAGCAATTAAGGAATAAGCGTGTGCACAGGTTGATTACGTAACAGATTGTTAAAGAAAATAAAACAATTTGGACAATCATAATTTGTAACTAAAGTTGAAGTGGTCATAAGAATAAAATAATTTTTACAAGGATAACACGTAATTAAAGATGAAGTAGTCAGAAAAATAAAATAATTTGGACAATTATAGTTTTTAAAAAGAAAAATTATTCTAGGTGGAGGGTGATGGAGTAGTCCGGTTTATACAGTCATGTAACGATGGCCAAGGTAAGGAAAGTGGCTGTACAAATTTCTTCTGAACACAAAAGTTTGGCTTCTTCAGGTGGATTCCTATTGCTTCAGCTGTATGTAGAAGACGAACTCGTAAAGCAAAATTAAGATTAGTAGGAATGCGATAAATAATTTTAAATGCAGTATTAACATCAACCTTATGCTCACTATCTACAAGGTGGGCTAAAATAGAGCTACGAATAGATTTTGTTTGTCCCTTGCTTAACCATGCCGGATGATGTTCGGAAATACGATGATGAACCTGCCTAATTGTAATCAATTGTAATCAACCTGTGCACACGCTTATTCCTTAATTGCTCTTCATTTTTCCAAAATTATTATGCATTATGCAATCCACGTGTTGTAACCATTTCCACCTTTTAATTATATATATTAATTTTTCTTCGTTAATTATCACCCCATTGACATTTTGACACCGACTAATTATTGTTAACAAACATATCGCCACTTGATTGGTAAAATGTTGTGTATTGTAATTAAAATGCTATATATATTAGAGTAGAGCCAGAGATGAGGATCTAATTGAGAAGTAAATATTTCTTCGCTCAATCTTTCTCTTTTCTAAACAGTCAACATCAATATACATCAAACGAGATAATCGTGTTACATTTTACTAATAGTAAGTAATTTTTACTGTAACGCACATCTTGAGGAGTCCGTACGGCTCGTAAGATGAACCACTTAAAATATTGATTATATTTTCTTAGGCTTTCTTAGTTTCACCTCACGGGTCACAAACTCATAAGTTCATCAAGTAGATTAACTCTCAAGGATATCAATTTTATTATTATGAAGACTTTCGTAACTCACGAAAAGAAAAAGAGCAATTGGAAATGTGAAATTTATTTATTTTATCTATTTTACACAGTTTATATAAATACAAGGAAACTGTTTTAAGTTCACATCAGACGTTATAAAAATAAATAAATGCTATTCACTAGTAGTAAATGAAAAAACTCTTTCGTCTCCTCGTATCTGTGCACACGAGACAACTTCGGGATTACTTCCGACGTAATCCTATCTGTGAAATATTAACCAGACTTCACCCTTTGATCTTCAGCTCAAGACGTTTACAATAAAAATATATTCAAATAGATGTTAATGGAAAATAAAGCATCATTTCGGTAGCCAGAATGAATAATTTGATAACCGATCAGCATAAGGTGGAATAGTTTTGGTTTAAAATGATATAAGTACCAGTGTCGTCATATGCGAGGTTCTTGTCTAAAAGACAAATAGATTAAGTCTAGCTAGTTGGAAATGGATACATGACGAAAAAAAATATTACAAAGACCTTTATCAGTTACTCTGGTTACCTGACTGCGAATTTTGTGGGATCCAATCAAACTGGAAATCATACTTAAGTGAACGTTTCTCCATTATACGCCAGAATAAACCACGAAGATATTTATATTTTGGTTCTTCTTCAAATGCTAGGTTACGGCAATAATTCAGATATTTAGCAAATTCTTCCGGCAAACCTTGGCATAATGTTTCCGTACGTACACTCAACTTTGTCTTATATATTTTACGGAATTTCTCCCGTTTACTATCGGCCTGTAGTCCTTGCCATGGAAGATTTCCTTTAATAAAATACAAGAAGACATAACCTAATGATTCTAAATCATCCCTCCTAGACTGTTCATAGCCAGCGTGAGCATTTATGCTACAGTATCGTGCGGTCCCTGTTAAGTTGCGAAAATCTCGAAATGCACAGTGTTCTTTAGATTTAGGATCCATATAGTATTTGGATAATCCCAAGTCAATTATATAGACAGTATTGAACGCAGGCCCGACACCCATCACAAAGTTATCTGGTTTGATATCACGATGAATAAGATAATTCCGGTGCAAAATCTCTATCCTCTTCAACATTTGATCGGCTAGCATGGCTACAGTTTTTAAGGAAAATTTACATTCACAATAAACATGTAGATCTTCTAAACTAGGTCCTAAGTATTCCATAACAAGTGCACTGTATAGGTTTTGCACACCATCTCGACCAAACCAATAGACTTTAGTTATTCCAGGATTATTACTTAACGCTTTCAATAACTGACATTCTGTTTGAAGTTGAATTGGAGCACCTGATCTGTAAACTTCCAGTTTAACAGCTGCTTGTTCTTTCGTTCTTTTATTCAAGGCTAGAAATATCTCCCCAAATGATCCAGCGCCGATACGTTTAATCAGTTTCCATTCTTTGTTTACAACAAATTCTGAATTACTATCCACTGAAATCTCATTGCTTTCACCTAATGACTTCGATGACTTCATTTACATTAAATTAATCGCAAGAACAGTAATTTATGTCATCTTTTAACATTCGAAAATAAAACAGAACTAAACTGTACACAGAAACTTTCCCTCAACCATTTGCAAAAATAAGTTACCCAGCCAAGCAAAATGAATTTTCAAATAAGCTAATATACAGAAATCAATGTAATAAAATCGATATGTATCAATCACTGGATTTACTTACTAACTGAGCAGAAACTCATTTTTAACTCACGCCATAACCGACATTGCTAATTTTTACTAGCTCTTCTGAAATGGTATCAGGGAGAAGAACATTGGTGAACGAGAAAAAAAGCGGTAATTAAGGTGTCAGAAACAGAATAGACGAATGATAATACAACCTTATGAACAATGTCTACGTACAGAAGACAGTAAAAGTAACTATAACCAACGAAACGCCAAACGTACTAATTAAAACCATAAAGAATAAAAGATTAGGCTCACTTCATTGTTTCCCCTTCAGCTGTCTCACTAAACTAGAAGGAATGCATCTAAGACACTCATATAGTATATTGATAGCCTGTTTTCACATCAAACAACAGAGCACGTTGGTAGTTGGTTAAACTCGTATTTATAGTGTATTGATATGCTAAGTCAAATATAAACCGAACACCATTGCTAAATAACCAATCATCTGAAGAGCAAGTAGAATTTTTCCCGTTAAAATAATGTATTCTTGAGTGTACAGGGAAGTATGGGGAGATTATTAGACTCTTCCCTGTTGCTGCTTCTGAAAGACAATTAGTTATGACTACAAAATCTGAAAGTTTAATAACACTTTATCAGTCAAAAGAAGAATTTTGACAAGTTGTATCCGTGCAGAAAAACCGAAAGCAGTTCCTTCTGTTGTCCGATACACTGTGAATTTCCATTAATCTTTCTTTAACTTCAATTCGAGTCAAGTTTCTTTGACTGGACACTAGTAAGTACGTAGTGTTATGTGTCTAGCCCATTGTTTGCTGCAGGTTGAATTCTATCAGTCAAGTTTGCGATGTGGCCACCATTCAGGGCTGTTCGCCATCACGTAACTGAGATGGAATTCAGTCTGCACGAAAAAACAAATAGACACATTACCCTGGTTACTAACTAACGTCCAATCAAAATATCCAGTACAGTCCTACAGAAGGCCAATGGCGAACCCGAATGACTCAGTGGTAACATCTCTGATTGCAGCACTGGGTGATGCGGCTTCGGACCTCAAAAGGGACGTGAGTTCCTTCAAGGTTGCACATACGCCCCGATGACGAATACCAGTTAGCACAAAACCGAGGTTCAAGGCCTCCTGCTGATTGCCTCCAACCATCTAATATCTAGTCACGTTTATTTATGCAAATAAATTGGGTCTGAAAAGCTCTCACTTGGATTCAAGTTTTACACCCCAAGAAAGTTCATCAACAGAAGTGATTCTGAAGCATACGTCTAAAACTTAAAAAAACTGTAGCAGTATTTTATTCCATATTAAAATATTAACTGGAAATATCACAGTGAAACAGTGTTATTTACTGAAGGACGTTCCGAACGCAATTGATTGCTCATTACCGTACCAATACAGTAAGTAGTACTGTTTCACTGGGTGATATAAACTAAGTGAATAAAATCCTATGAATACTGGAGCATAATCTGAGGATGTACTGAGTCAAATGATAGATCTTAAACCAACAGAAAAATAAGAACAAGTGGTTTGAGGCTTAAATGTTTGCCGCTGCTGATCAAGAACTCACATCACCAATCCCACAATCGAGGATTTTATCAAGAGAAGACCAGAAAGCATTGAATAGGCTGAATGATAACGAACAATTGGTAGTTTTACGACCAAATAAAGTTTCAAATGTCGTAGTCATGACCAAGGCGTTGAAAAATTTCACTTCCAAAATGAACTTGATCCTACAAAATCCTTTAGAAATTAGGATTGGCAACTGTCAAAAACATCTGGCTGATTCAACTGAAAAGTGAATCTCAAAGGTGCTGAAAGATTCACTGCTAAAGAAACTAACAGTTGATCGCACTTGTACCGAACTAAAACCTAGAGGCTTTCGTCTACCTTACATGTACGGACTATATAAGTTACGCAAAGAAGGTATCCAGCTTAGGCCCACACTGTCAATAATAAATTCAAGACAACATAAAGTAGCTTGTTGGCTACCTGACAAAATAGAGCCCATTCTCTAAAATTTAGCCTCATGAGAGACATTCTACTATCGAAAAAAGGAAGAATCTGCGTGTTACCAATAAATTTGTGGTGTTCATTGATGAGAACTCCTTAGTCATCAACGTGCCAATTGATGAAACTATAAGGATTATACGCCACATTCAGAATTCAGTCACCTTCTTTTGATGTGCACTCATGACATCTAATTAGAGTCTAATAACATATTCTGTAACTAGAATGATGTGGTAGCGACGGAAAACCCACTGAATCCTATTTTTGTAAGTAATTTTACAGTAAATCTGAAGGACAAAAAAGAGAAACACAATCGAAGAAATGACTCTACAATTCCATCATGGAGTAAATTTATTTTATAAAGTCTCACAGTATTATTTACTGACGGCATTTCGAGCACAATTTATTGCTCGTATTCATATCAGAGTATTCACACAATTTCCAACTTCGTTTATATGCATGAGTAACAAACTGATTAGACAAATGAATGAATAAAGGTCAATATATATTCTACTAACACTATTAGTTTTAGGCATTAAATTAAACCGGTGATGACTTCATTCTGGGTAGTGAATCTTCTGCAGATTTATTAATTCCATTCATTCAATTAGGTAACAGTGAAAAAATGGTTAATTTAGATATAATTAGTCTTAATACTAATATACAAATTAGTATGGTCTCGGAAAAAGTTAAAAAAGAACTAAGTGCTGATCCTGAATCTGCTTATAGGACAAAGCTACCCAATGAAGAAATTACTTTAGGAGTTGAATTATGCCTCAAGTCTAATATCTTCAAATTCCCAGGCAAAATATACAGAAAAACATGTGTTGCAATGGGATCTTCACAGAGTGGGAATTAGGGTGGCATTTAAAGATGTTAACTCACTCAGGAGCAAGCCTGTAAGTTAAATGACCAAATTAGACAAGATAATGTAATTTACAAAATGCCTTGCAGTGACTGTGAGGTTAACTACCTAGATCAAATCATCAGATTGTCGCAAAATAAGAATCTAGCTAAGTGTAGGACAGGGTCACAATTCTAAAAAGTAGTATAGGTAGACGGAGACAGATTTCTTTGTTCACCAAAAACATACACCTGATACGCGGACGCGTAGTCGAAATGGCTGGGCACTAATACCAGAGATATGGAAAAGATTACTACCAAATAAATCAAATGATAATAAATAGTCGTCAATTTCGTTTTATTTCAGCTTACGTTATCACATTCTAGCATTTTGTTTACTTGTTTTATTTTACTGACTAAACATCTTATTTCCCATCTTATCGCATTCACATTTCCGAATATACACTACACTACTTTCTATTATCTATTTCACACAAGTTTATTGAAATTTCAATTGACCTTTATTTATTCATTCACTTGTCGAATTAATTTATTACTCATGTATACAAATGAAGTTGGAAGTTGTGTGAATACTACGATATGAATACGAGCAATATATTGTGCTCGAAATGGCATCAGTAAATAATACTGTATAACACTGTGAGACTTTATAAAATAAATTTACTCTATGATGGGACTATACTCTACCACAGTACCGAAGTTCTATTCTTATATTAAATGACCTCTTGCAGCACGTGTGTTGATTGTATATGGTGATTTATCTCATGCATCTCATCTATAATAAACCTTTAATCACATCCAGGAGAAAAATTACTTCAACATGGAAAATAAAGTTGACCAATGTAGTTTATAACCTTATCAGTTGACTTTCCTTCCTTGTCTAGTACACTACGCCTAACCTCAGTATTATTTACCGTATTATACCATCTTACAGGGGTCATGGTAATACGTCCTTGAACAACAGATATCCACAAAGATCTGTTGACAGATTTGGAAAAAATAAAAACAAAAGATTAAGAAACATCGCAGTGAATAAAGAGTCTGTATTCAACCAGCTCAAATTTAAAGGTGATGACTATGAGGAGATAAGCAATAGATGACGTACGACATAGCTGTCGATGCATCTCTGGTCATATAGGTATAAGATGGCACACATTTGGGAAAAATTCAAAGGAAAAAGAGGCAGGCTCAGACCTCTTTAAGTTCACTTAGTCCATCTCTGTCAAACATTAAAACCTGGCTTTTGTATTCAAAAAGAAGTTATAGTAAGTATTTCTCTACTTTGGTAAATGATCTTCTAACCTTAACTGATTATATCATCTTTTAATAAATGTACTCACATTAATGAATTGTCATTCTTCATATTTTCAACAGCTAACTAAATAAAAATAACTGACAACACATTTTTTATATTTCATTTCCTCATTTTAACGATTTTCCAATCTTATAATATATGTATCGCAATATTTTCCTGCAAGCTAGTCTAGTTTACTAGTTTTCTAGCCGTTCCTTAGCCCGGGTAAAGGAAGAAATTTGGGCGTGGGGCTATCTACCTTACCTTAAAAAAGCAATCCAAACTCTACAGAAACGTTACAACACAAAAAATTATGGAAAACTAACTTATTCTTAGGTGGAATCGCAGAGACGAATGACACGGGCTGGTGAAACGCTTCAGGAAGCCAGCCAGGCGATGTGTTTTCTTTCGACAGAAACAAAAATAAGGATGGGGAAGTGGAATGTTACTAAGAAGTAGGAAGCTGGGAAGGCTGTCCAAGTTGCTAGAGAAATGAGAAGATACAGAATAGAAGTGCCACCAATCTGTGACAGCAGGTGAAGTGGGTATGGACTATCCAAATTGTTAACTAGAGATTCAGTCATCTACTTCGGTCATCCAGACGCCATCCACGAACACACTAAGGAGGTGACTATTAGGATGTCACCAACCGCGTCGAAG